TACACCTACACATACACATACACATACACATACACATACACATACACATACACATACACATACACATACACATACACATACACATACACATACACATACACATACACATACACATACACATACACATACACATACACATACACATACACATACACATACACATACATATACAAATTCATAAATATGACTACATTGAGATCAAATCAGTCCAGATCAGATCAAAACTTATTCCAATTAGATCAAAACCGATCAGATCATGTGAAGAGAACATGGCCTTAGGTCACAGTTATATACAGCATCAGTACAAAACAAGTTTATAAAAATTCATAAAAATCAGTTAAAAAAAGATACTTACCTCGTTTGGATGCTTACCTCTTCTGTCAAAAAGATAAAAAAACGATGGTGATTTCATTATTCAGATTTCTATTTAAATTTTCAAAGACAAAGTTGGGAATATGTCTAATGCTTGCCCATATTTTGACTTTTTATATTAGTCTACAAGAAAGATTGTGGTTTGTGCATCTTAATTCTCCAGGCATTAAGAACAGTTCAAATTTCAAGTGAGCAAACATTGCCAGTAGATGTTATTGACCTGTTTATTCTCCTCCGTGTCTATTGCACACACAAAGATGCTAGTTTATTTGCATTGACCAGCTCTATTTTAAACCTTTGTTGAACAAATAATGACTGTCAAAGAATATAAAGAATTACAGCATACAACAATAAATATATACAGCATCAGTACAAAATTAAAAAAAATCGTTAAAAAGATATGATCAGGCAGAGCTGGCGAACACAAAACAATGTATAAGTTCTTGAGCTCTGGTGTTGAAACTTGAAAAATTGGCAAGCAAATCCTCAAATCCCTATTCAATAATCAATTTCTACACTCTACATTCGTTCCTTTGTAAAATTTATGAACAAATTTATCATGAGTAAAAATTGAACAAATTTCACAGGCGGCACAGCCGCACATACCTATACGGCTTCTAGTGCCTCACTCGTCCGACGTGCTCCCGGCCGTCTGTGGAAAAGCGTTAATGCCTGGTCTACCTAGGGTAGCGCAGCGGTGACGCGTAGAAGAGGAGGGTTATTGCGTCGTGGAAGAGCCGCGTCGTTGTAGAGTCGGGAGCGGCGGGGCTGCGTCAAATCGTCAATTTGTGGTCTGCCTAGGGTAGGGTAGCGCGGTTAGATCGTCAATTTGTTTTTAACGACCAAAAATGAGAGTCCTCAACTTATTTTTTTTATTTATTATTTATTTTTATTATAATTAAATTATTACAGTAAAAAAAATTAAATATAATTTGTATATAAATCACATCAAGACTTAATTCAACCAAATTAGGTTAAGAGAATAGTAATTACCTTAAATAATACTAAAACACAAAAAAAATGTATCAAAATAAGACTTTCATATTTTTTTCCTAAAATAAGACTTCACATTGTTATAATGTGGTTGTAATGAGGCATTGAACATGTGCATATTACTATACTTTTTGGTAATATACATGAAAATGTTTGGTAATGTAAATGCATTTTAAGTCTGCTTTTGAGAATAAAAATATAAAATGCATTCATATTTTCAATGTTTTAGTCTTTAACATTCCTTGCTCTTAATATTTTATCTTCTCATTTTTCTTTTTCTTCTGCATTTCTTCTTCTTTTTTACCTTCTATGCAATTTTGACGGAAGCATAATTCATAGACTTACCTAACTAAATATTACCCGAATCGCAATCAAATAGTACCACCTCGATAACTATTTCTTCTAGGGAATTAATTTAGAAAAAATGTCTAATTATAAAATTATTCCTCCGTGAAATGATCATAAAGCGAAACTTCTTTGTCACATAATCTTTTCTTTAAAAAGAAAGTGAAGGTTATTTTGAGACAGGTGAAAATGAAAGAAAATAAATTTATTTGAGACGATTGAAAAAATTGAGAATTTTTTTAATTTGGAGGTCACATATTCAAATTACATGATTACATGGTTCAAAAAATAAAAATATTCAGTTACAAAGCTTGATCATAAATTAATTTTGCTTATGTGAGAATATAAAAATAATTATGTACCATCAATAACAAGATTAAGTTTTTTACTGAGCTTATTACTGGGTTGAACATAACTTCAATCTCCCGTTGAAAAAATATATAATAGTCGGTAATTTTTGGAGCTACATTTTGGCGATTAACCGATTGAGGAATTTTATAAATAATCCTTCATAACATGAAGTTTTTGATATATAGCTTCAATTCTAATATGTTATATCCGTGGTTTTTTATATTAAATAATTACTCCCTCCGTCCCAATTTAAATCGCCTGTTTTGATTTTTGGGCATATTTAAGGAAAATAAAAAATAGAGTTGATTTTTCGAAATTGTCATTACTTTTTAGAAGGGGTGATGATGAATGAGAAGATAAAGTGAAAAAGAGTGACTTATTTTAGGGGTAGTTTAGGTATTTTATTTTTAAAAGTTTACGAAAACAACTAACATGCAACTTATTTTGGAACGGAGAAAAAAGACAAACATTCAATTTGAAATGGGACGGAGGGAGTATTTATGATCAGTTATGGACTATATAAAAAACAATATTTGGAGTGGTTAACCACTTAGAAAGATGTGGTTAACCAAGATCTTAGACTTCTAACCCTTATTGAGGATATGACCTTAGATAGGAGTGTTTGGAGAGATTGAAATAAGATAGGTGGGTAGTATAACAATAGTTTTCGTGCTCAATAATGTGTGGTTTTTTTGCCTACTTTATATTTCTTTGTGCATGCTCTATGCTTCTATGTTACTCAAGTTAGAAGTCTTCTTAGAAACAGTCTATCTATTTCTGAGTAGAGGTAAGGTCGACATACACACACCCTCCCTAGACCTTACTTTCGTGAGATTCTACTGGGAATATTGTTGTAAAAATCTTATCCAAGATCCTTTATCATGTTCATATCTTTCATTGGATTATTTTTATATAAATTTCATTAGTCGAGTGAGAGTGGACTCCCTACATAATAGAGTTTGCTTTGTAATTATTTCTGCTTGAAAAAGTATACTCCGTATATTATTTGGACAAAGAAGAAAAGAAAAGAGATACTTCTAGAGTTTTTCTTTATTTAGGTAAAATGAAAGAAATGAAAGCATGATAGTGTAAAATGACAATTTTATCCATACTTTCATAAAAGTAATAGGAGTAATAACAGAGTAATAATAGAATGAACAAAGGCAAATACTCCGTCAGTCCCTATTTTGATTACAAAAACACGAATTACGATGCAAAATCTCACAATTTTTGAAATTGTTTTATATACCAATGAGTATATCAATAAAAATAAAAATAACATATTAAAAAGCTAAATTCAAAGTTTTACAAAATAAGAAGTGACGAGCATATTTTATTTTATCAAATAATCAATGAAAATACATAAATAAATAAAAATTATCAAGAGGAGAAAGAAAATAAAATTGTAATCGGGAAGAGAGAGTAAGTAATTTCATAAACTTCATCTCTTATTTGTACGGTTTTTTCCTCTCGTTTGAGAATATTTCTAAGCCTAGTTCCAGTCATTTTCCTAACTCTCTTCTTTATCATTTCATTGTTAGGGTTCTAAATCCAAATGAATTTGAAATCCAATGCCTGACATCTCAATATGTTTGCTTATTTTGACTTTTCACATTCATATACTGCCACTGTATGATGTTCCCAGTTTGACTTTTGTTCATTTTTATCAAAAGTTGGACTATGGGTATAATTGGTCAAAAATGCCCTTCCTCTCCCTACAACTGCCATCCCCTAGCCCCTCCGTCCCCAACCGCCCCTTTCTCGACTATGCGCCAACCCCCTTCACAACAATCCCACCATCCCTGCCACAACCCAACAATGACACAGATCTAAAAGAAAGAAAGAGGAAAAAGAAGTTGGAAAAAGAGAGGAATTAAAGAAGAAGAAAAGAAGAAAAGTGCAGATCTAAACTAACTATTGACGCCAGCCTCACTATTGTTGTCACCCACCTCGCCGGCAACCCTAACATCAGCGCCAGCCCCACCATCAAGACGAGTCCCACCATCGCCGCCCCCCTAGCACAGATCTAAAACAAAAAACGAGGAAAAAGAAAAGAAGAAGAAGAAAAAGAAAAAGAGGAAGGAGTGCAGATCTAAAACGCCATCGTCATCGTCACCACCATAGCCACCACCCTCGCCGACGTCATGCCCAGATCTAGAAAAAAGATGGGTGAGAAATAAGGAGGAGAGAAGAAAAAAGATGGAGGGGAGAAAGAGGAGAGGAGGAAGAAGTGGACGAAATAGGATATTGAGGTGAAGAAGAAGAAATAGGAGGAAGAGATGGAGGAGATCGAGAAACAGGAAAGAGAAAGAAAAATAGAGGAGAATGATATTTTTGAAATAAGGGTATTTTTGGAAGAGTAGAGGATAAAAGGTAGAATGGGAATATCATTCTCGGACAAAAAAAAGAGTAGAAAGGGAACATCATTTCCAGACGGAGGGAGTATTAGTATAGAAGTGATGCAATAAGGACTATTTAATTCATGCCAATGTTTGATCAGTTTGACTACAAAAAGTTTTTTTTAAGGTTATCTAAAACTATGTTTGGTTCACGGAATTAGGAAAGAAAAGAAAAGAAAATGATTTTCTCTCATTTTCTTCACCAAAATGAGAGGAATTTGGTTTTCCCTCTGTCTGGTACATTTTGCTTTCTCATTTTCTTTTCCTCTAACAAAACAAGAAAAATTATTTTTCACTTCATTTTCTTTTCTTTTCCCTTTCAAATTCCTTGAACCACGTAGTGTGAATGAGAAAGTGGAAAAGTGTTAACTAGATGTATTATCAGAAAAAGAAAGTAAAACTGGATTAAAAAGGAAGACATGAACTTCATAGATTTGAACACCATTTTAACACGGTTTCTTGTTTGAATCCATCCATCACTTTCTTTTTCCAAAAACAAAAAAAGAACAGACATATGGATGGATTCTACACACCTGAGCATTGTTTGCAACAAAATGAAGACATATATGACCAACCACCCAATGGCTTGCACACAAGAACGTCAACACCTAGCGCGGCTCAAATGTTTGCACAAATGTTTCTTAATGAATCTTTCGGCATGCGTGGGATACGAATCTCGGACATACCGCTGAAGGCACTTGTAGTATGAGAAATCGATGCACCCACCGTCAGTTCTCACCACAAACATGCACCTTGTGTGCCTGAACTGGGGATGTTGATCAACCTAACACAAAAAATGCTTTTTTAGAAATGAATCACCAATATACTCTCTCCGTCCCTAAAGGAACCTCTTACTTTCCTTTTTTAGTTGTTTCAAAAAGAATGTTTCATTCAAATTCGAGGAAAGAAATGAGTGTTTCACATTAGATCCAACCTTAAGAAAATCAGATCATATCCAATAAGATCAGACGAAAAGAACATGCTCTTACACCACACAAATTTACTTTTTTTCTTAAATTCCATGAAAATCAAACAAAAACTTTTGTTTAGGGACGAAAGGAGTAGTTTACAATCAAGTCGGATGCATCGATGTGAGATGTTAAGATAATAATGGCGGGAGGGGGTGTTTGTCGATTCTTTTTCACCAATCTTTTGGCTAATATACTTAGCAAAGGGATGGCTTGACTGTTTAGGTGGCACAAAAGACTATTTTAAATTTATTTCCACCGCAATTCACTTTTTTAAAACTGTTATTTCTATTACATGTAGTACTATGTAATTATTTATACGTACTTTCTCAACTTACTGAAACATAGTGAGTTAATGCCCCCACTAGGGTCGTGTGACCTCATTTCATAGAGTTATAGATATGTTGCTCGATCACAAAAGCTATGACCACTACAATTCACTTTAAAAAACCGTATTCACCAAAAAAGTGTGGATCTTATGATACAACATTGTAGAGTGAGCTTTTCAGGCGATTCGTATGAACAATGACAAACACCCCGAGTAGACCAAGTGAAAAGCAAAAATACCATGGGAGCATGTAGGAAACATACCATAATCGAATCGAGGCCGACACCAATTTTGTCTTCGGAATGAGGGTGGTGAGCAAGAAGCCTCTCTACCACTATCTTCTCATCTTCATCTGTAAGACGTTGTCCATCCATATACCTGATCAATAACTCAAATTCGTCAATTACCTCA